TAGACCAGTTTAAGTCTTCTGTCAAAACTGTTGTGGTGTTATAGTACCTAAATATAAAAAGGCAACTTGACCATTATTTATTTTTTTAACATATGTGCTGAGAGCCTGAGACCCAACAAAAATATTAGCAATTAAGTTTAGACTCCTGTCACAGTTAACAAACAAGAAAAATGAATATACTTTTAAAATTGTATTAAAGTAGTTTCTATACATATTCTATCTAGGTACAGTGATAACTGATAATCAATGAACAATGGATCCACATTATATTGTGTTTCTGTTACGCATAATTCGTTAAATTTGTAAACCACTTAAAAACTAATTGTAGTAGGTAGCTGTATGTATTATAATTAGGTGTTGCAAGTGCAGACTGAGTAAATCTATAACCTGAACATGACCACCACAGTAAGTCTCTGGGAAGGAAATCAGGACACGAGAGTTGTCCGAATACTTAATAATTGCGTTGTTATATTTTAGTCTTATCCTTCCTAAAGAGATTCTAGATTTGAAGAACGAAGTACAGTAGTTCGGTCGAGCGATCGCATACGTACCTTTTACGATTATAAATCATAATGAATTATTATGGTTCCCGTGGAAATACACTGGAAACATAATATTACATAGGGATGATATATAATATTATAAAGATCCGACGACTTATAACGTGCAATGTAATATGTTATGCAATATTATTGCGCCTTTAACCTGTTCCTGCTCCTCCTACTGCTCCTCCTCATCCTCCTCCTAGAGTTTCGCATGTCGAGCGGCTATCTAAAACGAAAAGCCCCCAGTCATCAAATTCGAGCCCGCTGCCGCCATTTTGCGGACTTAAAATAATTATATACGTCTCGGCTACGCACGGGAAAAATATTATTTATACCTAATAATAATAATAATAACAGCTTATTAAAATAATATATTATGAGATATTTCTAATTATTATTAAAACGAAATGTCTTACGCAACGCACACCGCCATTACATTTTGATTGACGATGATATTATTATTGCCGACGATCGCTATCTGTTTTCACTACTCGCGATAATAATATTTATGTACCACATTATAATGATAAATATGATATTGCGGTATCGTTGGTACCTTACATACCACGCCTATACCTACTATATTTTAAGTAGGTGTTCATTATATTTACTTCTTTGTTGTATTTCAGTAGGTAGCTATTCGACTCGTAAATACAAGTCATTGTTGTCCACGACTGTATTATTATAATATTATCAGACCGTCAAGAAGTTCTCGAAACACAAAGCAAAATATAATTGAAAATAAATAAACGTTATATATTATTATTATTATTTTTCTTTGTCATGTGTAAATATGGTTTCTATTAAAGTAAAGTACAGAAAACAATAGAAATAAGTCATAGAGAGCGAATATCACAATAATAATGAAAAACGAAGTGGATATTGTATAATATTATATATATAATAATAAGTATATAAATATTATATATTCTTCGGTCTGTGTTGGTTTATTTTTCAATTTAACTTATACACTACTACCACTAACACCTTTCAGATTTTCAATTGTTAAAACGTAATCGTGTTTAAATATATAATACGGTTTTTTTCTTTCACAAACGCGTATAAATGTTTAATGATCAATGTCCGTTCATCTTTTTTGTTAGTCTTCTGGAGACACCGTTTTGTTCGTTTTAGCTATATCTGCTACGTAAAAACAGTCGAGTTCTTACCTATAGGTAGGCACTTGTTTAATATAGTTAAATAATTAACTACATTCTATAATTATATTGACGTTGTTCGTTGATGTTTTGAAAAACAAAATTCTCCTACACGGATAGATCATATAAAAAAAAACTATTAGATCGATAATATTAACTATAATACATTTACGATAGAATCAGTAATTTTAACAAAGCCTTTGAGCTCACAATTTGAAAAAAAATTAAAATTATGAATCTTTTGGAATTTCATAAAACTATAGGCCACTAAATTGAATTTTAGGAATAACACTTAACCAACCGTTCTGAATATTTTAACATCATAATATTTAGTTGAAATTTGTCTGTATTATAGCTATTATAAATATTATAATCATATTATGTAATAGCATATTTTAAACATTATAATACTGACTATTCTGGTATGAATAACATAATAATACAAATTAATCGTTTGCTTGAATCGGAAGACAGCCTCGTATGTCACAAATTTTACTTGTCATAAAAAATCAAGAGTTTAGATCACATTTTTTTATGTGATTTTGAGTGGAAATCATCTATTGAAGAGATAATTTTTTATTACTGATTAACTTGGTTCTATTTAAAAATTATACTATATTGTCTAGTCGTCGTCAAGTCAGTAATGTCAACCTACAACAAATACTTATAATTATTTACAACATTTCAAACATACTTATGTTTAACTTTACTTCTTTTCTATACCTACGTATTCTACCTATTGGCTATTAGAAATGTATTATTGCTAAATTTATATTTTTCTCTTTTTGTAGTACAAAAATTAACAATTTTTCAATTTTAATTTCTCTTCAAAGAGAATTAAATTGTGTTTAAAACAGCTAAAAAAAATATAATAATTAGAAAAACCACGTTTGAAACAAAAATAACATGTTTTAAATGATTTATCATTTCTTTTGATAAAATAATATATTATAAACTCTGAAATACGATATATTTGCACATCACAATAGTGGTAAATATGTCGCTACTAATGCTATATTATATATTTAATTCAAAATAATTAGTAACGACCAGAAATATAAATAAAAACATTAACTAAACGTTTCAACATGAAATATAGTATGACGTTGCAGGTACAATATATCATAGTTACTGCAGTCTATGTGTTCAGAAATAGTTTTTAAAAAGGACATAACACTCGTTTCATCAGCGTTCAGCTGGAATAGAAATTTAATAATTTTATTAATCTGTATACCTAATAGAAGTCAATTAAATTCCAACACAATAAAACTGCAGCTTCTCGACGTGTACATGATTTTTCGATAAAAATGTTAAATTACGATGGAATTGTATTGTAACCCGCAGTGTTCGTATTACACATATTCTGTCATCCGTATTATAGTAGGTAGGTTAGGAAGTTATACACTTCAGTGGGATTTTAAATTTCAATTGATCGCATAAAACTAGCTAGTCTGCGTATGCATACAGGGAGAACCGTATGGGAATTGGTAACGTTTCCAAGAAAGTTTTGTTTTTTCAAGCGGTAAATTAAATTTCCAAGTTCAGTTCTGTGCAATTCTTCGCCGGGCCGGGAAAAAAAAAAAGAAAACTGCGATAAAGTTAACATACCTACTAAATATAATATTACGTAGGTACATAATATAATATGTACACGAATGTCGAAAGTCATTCAATATAACACGAACGATTCATTAAGAATAATTTTTCAGATGGAAATAAAGTGTCCTGGAATGTAAAATTTATAATGCTTTGTCGTTTTTATCAATTCAAACAATTTTACCGTTGGAAATGAGCGATAATTAAACCAAAAACTAATTGCCCTATTCAAAGTGTCCATTTTAATAACTACCTATAACACTATTGCATACATAATAAATTATAAAAAGCATCACTGAATTTAAAAAAAAAAAAAATGTCATTACGATTTACGTACTAATTACAGAAGTTTTATCTTAAAATACGGACTAAATTTATATATTAAAAAAAAAGTTATTTGGTAATCACGCTAAACTATTTAAGTGAATTCATTACTAATTAGTTTTCAGATATAAATAAGTTATAATTTCCATGGATACATATAAATTTAAAACATGTTATAAATATAATAAAAAAACACAAATCATGGAAGTACGAAAAATATATAAACATTACAATTTATTAATTAAAACAATCCGACCTTAACTATGTAGGTACTTTGGAAAAATGTTACTATTAATGCAGAAATGTGAGACTTTTGGATCGGGGGAATCATGTACAACACTTGCAGGAAACTTATTTAATCATACCTATAACTTAACTAGATACAACAATATTATTATACTCGCAGATGAAAGACTATACAACTATACAACTGTCAACTACTAGTGTCATCATGCCTATTATTTTTTATTAAAATATAAATTCGATATATACGTCCGGTTTTGTTTCATATTACATATAAAGCTTGTAATGTAATGTCAAGTAAATTAAATTAAAAAAATTTGGCAAAGTTAAGCAATTTTATTTTTATTTAATTTTTTTTCAAGGTGTTATCCAAGCCTTAGCTATATAAACATTAAAATATAATGAGATACTGAACATTTTAAAGCAGCGTATTACGTTCTAAACGTATTTTTTTTCTTACATAGATCGAAAAACAAGAGTGATGTGACATCATATTATTATAGTTTCACTCGAGTGGCTCCAGTACAGTTTGTACGCATCGGAACTGTGACATCGTTTAACCTGATTATTAATAACGAGCACGTGAAACGCGATGTATGTGTACTGTATACTCAGTGGACGGCTAATCGCACACGACCGTTAATCAATCATAAAACCAAAGTCCAACGATGGACAATTACAATTTACTATTATTATATACTATAATAATTACAATGATTTTTCGCCGCGGCGCACACATCGAGAACGACGTCGGCCCAGGCCGTGCGGTTGAATAATAAATTTTAAATTTGAATCCAATCAAAATTATTGGCATCCACTCGGCTGCGCTATTGTACATTATTATTATTGTTGTCGTACCGAAACGGAATTTGCTCGCTCGTTTTTCATGTCGTCTGCACCACCGAGCGTTTTGCCATATAATGACCTTTTTTTTTTTTTTTTTTTTTTTTTTTTTTTTTTTTAATTTATAAACAGGAACGGGTGGGAACTGTTTAGCACAATACTGCCACCCGAGCCCGTATCGTTTATTCACCGTCACTACAAAATACAACTATAATATAAACTATAAAGTACATACGTGGGGGCCTCTAACCACCCTAGGTATTTGGCCTTCGGCCCACAAACTCAGTCACCATTAAAATAATCGCGCCTGCCTAACCCGCTCTGCATCCTCCTTCCGCCCGAGAATCGCCTCCACCATTCTGCCAAACGCCAACCTCAGTCCCTCCGCCATCGCCTCAATACGCCGCCTCCTGGATGCAGCATCTGGGAGGAGCTCCTGTTCCGGTCCCAGGATGATATCCGGCACATCATTGGGTTGTAGTGGCCGGCCGACGCATTGCTCCATCTCCCGTCTGTCTTCTGCCCAGAACGGACAGTTAAACAATGTGTGCTCCACAGTGTCGTCCGGCTCATCACAGTGCATGCAGTGGGGGTCATCTGCTCTCCTCCTCTTCCACAGGTAGTGCTGGAAGCATCCATGACCCGTCAAAGCCTGAGCCATGTGGAAAGTCATGGCTTCGTGATTTGACTGATGCACCCACCTCCTGATGTCTGGAATCATCCTCCTCGTCCAAGCCGCCTTCGTCGTGTGATCCCAGATTACCTGCCATTCGCGCAGCGTTACCTCGCGCTCCTGCCTTCTTATAACCGCCACCGTCGTGGGCTCCCGCTTTCGCTCCTCGATTCTGCGTCGCTCATCGGCCATATAATGACCTGCAGTATGTAATATGTCCCACCTCCGGAGTACACCGCACAACAACGATAATGATATTAAAGGGAAAATCGATCGTCAAGCGACTATTAAACAATACATCGACCGAATGGAAAAATTTCCAAGCACGCTGAATCGAACTCTGGAAACTGAGGTGGAAGATTCGTAGACATATTCGAGAATTTGTTGGAAGTATGACGCGTTTCACACGAAATAATATTATATTTTCTTCTATAATCTGGAACTGTTTTTGTCGTGTTTTGTTTTTGTATATTCTGAACGCGAAGTGAAGGAACCAATATAGGTATTGATTGTTGTTATAAACATAATATTTGTTTTCTAAGTAAATAATCGTTTGTTCTCCTAAAAAAAAATGTATACCAAAAGTTGCAGGTGTTGCTTTAGGGGTAGTACTTTAGAGAGGTCGTTTTTTAATTTTCTCATGTTTTCGTATAGGAAAATACGATATAACACCTATATCAGAGATTATATAATTTTACCAATCATTAAAATAAAAGGGAAAGGATTTTTGTATGTACGAATTGGCAATCGTTTAATCGAACGACCTGACGGGGTGCTACCAACGAGCTTTTACTATGGTCTGCAGTGGTGGATATTCCTGGACTATTCACTTGGAAAATTACGTAGCACTTTGAAACCCTGGGAATTTAACCACAACTGTACAAGCATAATATATTTTATTACGTTTATAATATATTAACAGTTGTATGTCAGCGTAAAACGAACGAAATATGCAGCACCGTTCGATCCGAAACAATTATTATTGAAATAGCCAATATTATTAACAAATGGAATTATAGTCGGCCCTAAAGTTTCTGATCTAAAGTTTCGCGCCATAGTATCATAATACAATATGGGAGTATTATGCAAATCGTGCGTGAGCACTATCGGTACCTCCATACATAAATTATAATAATCAATTTGTGTATAGGTACTATAGTGTCGTATATGAATATATGATGTATTAATCCGAAGGTACTCTACGTAATAATCAGACGGTTTATCAATACGTAATATTAATTAAAGAGCATATTACGGTCGTCCGTCATTCATAATTAGTTTCGCGACGTTCAATGTAAATCATCCATTACAAATCGTCAATAATTCAACAACTATAGAGAGCAATGACTATAATTTAATAATATTATGATTGCGATCAACGCAAACAACTCGGTAAAATCACACCGACATAGGCTACTATAATAATATAATATCGATGGGAAATAGGTACAATAGTATAATTCTCGTTGACGTCACGATGATGCCGGATAACGAAATAATTATACTGCCTATACTGAAAGGCCACCACCAAAACCCTATAGTAGAACCCCTGACAAAATAAAAAATGTATTACATCATATCGTGTTCGGCTCCATTTCAATGAATTATTATGAATTTACTAAACAAATTTAGTATTTACATTAAATCGGCCGGAACTCGGAGCATAATATGATACGTGCTTAAATTTTTTTTTTTTATTTATTTACTATTATTGAAAGGTAACAGATTTCAAACGTTTTCAAACGTTATATTTGTATCCTCGCGAGTGATTTGCTGAAAAGCGGTCAGACCGATCGTACAAAGTAAACTTATTTATGAATTCATTCGAATAATCCATTAAAACCTCACCACTGCATCAAACACAGTAATAACATATTATTATTATTATTATTGTGCTACCCGTGTACCTGATGCGGGAAATAGTGAATACAACATATTACACTGAAATTATAATGTTTTTAGTATCCACTCAAATACAATTCGTGCCCAAATTTATCGTAATAATTGTCTATATACATTACCCCATGATTCGTTTACGGTTATAAGAGATGCCATCACTCTTCATATTAGGTAGGTACACAATTATTACATCACAATAATTAAATATATATTATAATATAAGTATTTAAAATGTATATTAAAATATGAGTTGGAATGTATAAAATGCATTTTGAATTAGGTACATAAACATTTTCATAAAAATCGTCCAATGAATAATTTATAGTAAATAAGGGAAATTCTCATTGGAAAAACAGAAGTATTTATCAATTCTTGGCACCAAAAAAAAAATTATATTTTAAATTATGACTGAGGCGATGAATGTATTAATTTTACAATGATGTATGTGTTTTTTTTTTTTATTATTTGTGTCTGTACACGATATTTACTCGAAATAATGCTTTGATTAATGTATCTTGTTCTATGGAAAAATGGATCTAGTTGATTCATTTAGGAGGTAAAAATTAAAAATGTAAAGTAGTTTTTTCCAAAGCCCCAAGAAAAAAAAAATTATTGAAAAACAGCAATTCTTACTCAAAATTGGTTTTGGTTTTTGGTGTAATTCTAAAACAAATTACCGTAAATCCATAAAAATATTTTAACTAGTCTTGAGCTTTATACGGACATTTTCATTTTTCAATTTTTTTAATTTTTTTTTCTTACATGTCAATACAATTTTTTTTGTTATGTCAAAAAGCGTGAAAATGTAATACAAGGCTTCTGAAATATTGTTACAATAGCAGTTTAAAAATATTAAAAAATATATAAGCACAATTTTTTTTTATAAGCATTTAAAGTTGAAATTTTGACAAAATTGAAAAATGATTTTGTTGTTAAAAATGTACAAAAAGTTCAACTTTTATAGCTAAGGATTGAAAATTTAAAACAATTTTCTACACAAATCACATTATTCACAAAAATATCACCAAATATACTTAGTAATATCTAGGCTGACTGACCATCTTCGTTCAGAACCGTTTTTCGTATACAATGATAACATTATATCATTGAATTCAAATTTAACACCATACATTACAGTTGTAACCTACTGCGTACGGAAGAGCGACACTCACTTGTTCACCTTTTCTTAGTTGATTTCGGAATATAATATAGAGACGATCGCTCTGTTTTATTGGGGCGAAATTACATGCCACCGTCGACAACACTGAGAGTCTACAACAACTGTACTATAGCTGAGTAATACCGTTTGAGATATTTCATACTTATAACGTGGACATAATAATATTCCAACGAGCCACCGTCGTTATAATACGTAGGTATGAAATTAATTTTCACCAAACAGTTTGACTGCGTACAACTGCTGCAGCGCATGGTAAAAATATTAAAGTCGATTATATTCCACCCGGAGCGAGCCCGAACAATGTCTTGTCAAATTCCAGCTGCGTCATTTGATGTCCTTTGGTATTTTAATAACATTACACAGCCGTTAGAAATTCTAAACGGGCGCTTCTTCTTCGACATCTGGCCCGCTTGGCGAGCAAAGCTCCGTGCGGTGAAATAGCGCTGCGCAGCATCAGTTGTAGTATTAATATATATATATATATATATATATATATATATATAGAAGTCGTGAAATATATTGATGGCAAACGGATATTGAAAAATATAATAATGGCGAAATTTCTCCGTCGACACCGCTGCCGCCGCCGCCGAATGCCCATGCCACACCATGACTTCCATTCGATAGAAAAAAAAAATAAAAATAATGATAAATGAACAAAACTCAGACGACGTGGAGAGAGTGGAAAAAAATAACCAAACTGTTTTTTAAAAAAAAAAATAACATAGGCCAACGAAGCCGTATATAATAATATATATATACAACACTATTTGCGGAGGATTTTCGAACGGAACACATTTCGAATTGTACGCCACCGTCGAGTGCGTTATATATATATTTATTATGTGAGTGTATATGTGTTTTATTTTTTTTACTCTAAGAGTCCAACAAGTCGCGTCTTCCGATCCACCGCCCTGCACCACACTCTGCAATCCCTTCTACCGTTACCCCAGAGTTTATCATTTTTCATTTTACACTCGCCCTGATGATATATTATATATTTACTATATACATGTACCTCGCCCGAAGCCGCACAATGTCTGTGTATGTATATACATAATATATAATAATATATAGAGCGCAACACCGGCGGCGGCAGTTATCTCTCCCAACCACTCGAGGGCCGCACAGTCACCGTAGGCATATTTATATATTTATACACACACACACACACACACACACACACACATATATTATATATGCAATGTGTATACTTTTATGTACATTATACACTCGCACATACATAAACACGAACATTTATATTATAAACAGGGAGAAAGAGAGAGCGAGACCGTTGCGAAGTCAGCTGGCAAAGCTACTTACGTCCGTACCTATACATGTGTGTAAGCTCTAAACGCGTATAATAATTATCAAGTGCCTGGCCTAACCCTTCCTCTATCGCGAGTTCTCACACAGCGTATATTTACTTACGTCTACAATATACACATATTATATGGACGCCTGCGCCCCCTACGTGACGATTGATATTGCTATACTATACCGAGCTCTGCACCCCGTTTATATATGCGACTTATATATACTCAGCGTACAGGTGCATCAGTGCATCGGTTTCAAGGCTTAGTGTGCGCATACACATATACACACACACATATATATATATATATATGTTTATTATATACACGCGTTATAGATACGATGAGGGCGGAAGGACTCTTTATAAATATATATTATATATAATATTATGTGCGTTCGAGTGCACCGCGATATACACAAGCCCCGTGTATTATTATGTGCGTATAATGCGCTCCGTCACACCCCGGGCGTTGGGCCGACGAACACGACATTTCCATCAACTTAATCCCTTGTCTGCTGCTCGCTGTTTGCGCGTCTATAAGTACGCGCGAGGTCTATATAATAATAATAATAATATATAAATGTATAGAGCGCACAGCCGGCAGACTATCTGCAAGGGCGAGCCCTCCCGCGGGCGAGATAATCTTCGTGGCCGAAGGGGTTGTACGCAACAATGTTTTTTTTATCCTCGTTTTTTGTTTTTCCGAAACCCCCCACTAGGCCGCATGCCGCATTTTCGACTTCCATACACCGTACCTTTACCTGCGTATAACATTATTATTATGATCTGCCTCAGAAC